ATATGTGTAGCAAAACATCAAGTTGTACACCTTACATACATACAGTTTTTATTTGTCAATTATATCTCAATGAAGTTGGGGGTGAGAAAAGAATAAATGGATTGGCAAGAGTAACCCCGTTTTAAATGTGAGAAAATAAAGATTGAGTAAAATGAATCAACCCAACATAAAATCACCAAGCGCAAAGACGACATATCTTAAACATTTGTTGGATAGATGAATGGATGGATGGTGGATGAATGCATTGATCAATAAATACAAAGATCAGGCTTCTTAATTCCCATTCCCATGCACTTGAAACTAAATTTAGCTTGTTGATTTAATGAATATCTTTGCACCTGAATGTTCAAGAGTAATAAGAATATAATAATAGGTTTAAGGTGATACTTTTAAGAAAAATAACTAGTAAATAACTCTGTAGGAATGGCCTCAACATACCCTTTCATCCGTACCTCAATGCTGCTTCATAAGCCCAGCATTTGAAGCTACTTCCAAATTTCTTATTCCTTAATCTTATGAAGGTGAAACTATGATGTAAGGACTAAGCACTCTGAATCTAGGTCCAAATGGGATTCAACCACCATTATTGGTGGAGGATCTTACTGGAATCTTGCCATAAACCAAGTATCATATTTCTAAATCTTGTCTCAGAATGAAACCAGAAAGAGTCAGAAACCTTGAATTATTTTCTTCCTGTTTTATTTTGGTGGCGTAACCAAATAAGCGAGGGATTGTGTTAGGTCAGGTTCCCTGGGAGGGGAATGGGGGTGCTCTCAAGAGAGAGGGAGGAAAGAAAGACAACAAAGCCCAGGAAGGAGTTGAACAAAGATGTGGGCTCGGCTGGAGTCAAGCTTCTGTCTGATCTCACGGAGAACTCTGGAGTTATAAGACATCACAGAATTGGTTCCTTTTGTACCTCAATTTTGGACAGCCATTGGTGCAAGAAGCACCCCAGGGTCATAACCTCCCAGAGCAACTCCTGTTCCACTGAGGGTAATTCTCTGGAGGAGGGGACAGCTGTGGGTGATGACAACCAACTCGCAACAGCTGGGGTTGGGGGCCTACAGGACAATCCATTTGTTCCTAGGCAAAAGAAATGCATTCATGGCATTAACAAAATTTGATTTTAATTCCTTTATCTGTTAAAAAAAAATACACTTTCATGGAAATAGTTCTAGGGAATAGACCAGGAAATGGGGACTGGGTGAGGCACCAACAGCACCCTCTGTAGGGCTCTGCACAAACGCTGACATAAACTCAGCCTGATTTTGGAGCTGACTGCCATGATAATCCTTGAGACTATGAAGAATTAAGGATCATGTGGACCAAAAGATACAAAGTTCCAGTTAGACAGGAGGAATCCATTTCCAAGATCTATTGCATAGCAAAATGACCAGAGTTACAGATAACGTATAGCTCAAAATTGCTTAGAAAAAAGAGATTTTTTAATGTTCTCACTACAAAAAAAATCATAAGGATGTGAGGTAATGGATGTTAATCAGCTTGACATAATCATTCCACATGTATACATATATTCACACACCACATGGTAACCCATAAATACATACAATTATTATTTGTGAATTAAAATTAAAATTAGAAACAGAAGAATCATGCAGAAGCTGGTCACTGCCATGTTTATGATGCGATGGTGCAACATGCTTTATGCAAAATTGTTGCTATTTTCAATAACTTAAAACAAAGAGGAGGTGACATGCATGTGCAATGTGGCAACACCATTTGAGGTAGCAGATAAGCATGATGCAGAGAAAGGTTCGAGCAATGTAGGGGAAGCTCTTGGTGTTCTTGCCGGATCCCCTGGACTGATGCATCCATCATTGTGCATGTAGCACACCTCCAGGGACAGCCCACAGCCAACAATTGACTGACACACCAGCCAGGCAAAAAGGCCTTGCCTCAAGATTGGTCAACCCCATCATGCACACTCCACAGCTCCCTGTAGGATCAGGCAGAGGCTAGATTCTGAAGGAGAACACCTCATTTTTTTTAACACCTTCCCTATCCTATCCTGCATCCTCAGAACTCTTTTTTTTCAGAGTACCTCCCAACAAATCAAGCGCATCCCAACCCCCAACCCCCCAACAAATCTAGTGAAGACCAACCCATACCCCCCAACAAAATGACTGCAGCCCAACCCCTACTCCAACAAATCAAGTGCATCTAACCCCTACCCAAAAAAACAAGTACAGCCAAACTGCACCCCCAACAAATCAAGTGCATCCCAACCCAAACCCCCCAACAAATCCAGTATAGCCCAACCTCCACTCTCAATAAATTCAGTGCAGATCAACCCCCAACCCCCACGAAACCAAGTGCATCTCCATCCCCAACCCCCAACAAATCAAG